TCTCTTTCCCCTTTTCTGTTTTTTTCTCTACTTTTTTCTCTTACTCTCCTTTTCTGTCTCATTCTTTTTCTCTCGCTCTCTCTCTTTCCCTCTTTCTCAGTTTGACTCCCCCCTCCCTCGTGTTTTACTCTTTTTTCTTCTCTCTCCCTTCTTCCCACACTCTCTTCTCTCTCTACTCTCTTACTCCCCCTTTCTCTTCCCCTCTTTTGGTTTTGCACACACAAACTCTCTCTCCTCTCTCTTCTATTACTCTCTTTTCCTTTCTCTCTTTCTTCTCAGTTTCTCTCTCCCTCCTCTATTAATCCTTCTCTCTTCCCCCTCTCTTTCGCAGTTGTACTCCTCTTTCTCACTCTCTTTCTTCTCAGTTTCTCTTTCCCTCTCTCTTACTCTCTCTCTGGGTTTCCCCTCTCCCAATTAAGTTAAAGTCACAATGCAGCTCTGAGCTGAAGCAGGCTGGTGGCTGTGGGCTGGACAAGACGGAAAGAGAGGGACACAAACACTCTCTCTCTCACTCACTCGTGTGTTTAAAGTCACACTCTCTCCATTCTCCGGGAGCACTGGCGCTTTCACTCCAGACTGGAACTAATTAGGCTGAAGCTTTTGTTTCCACACTGACACGCAACGACGCACAGACCGACTGTGACCACTCACTGTCAGAAACCCCTCTATTGTAGCTCTGCCTGGCTGGTGTACAGTTAGACACTGTAGCCCATCTGTTGACACAGTGTGCATAAGAGATTGTGGCATGCGCTCATCCCCCGGGCCCCGATGGCGGCTGCGAGAACCGGCAAGAAGGCGGGGCCTGAGCTCCGAGTGGGGACGAAGCCCGGCGAGGAAGGCGGAGAGAGGAACACCACGAGTGAGGGGGGGTGGGGGGGGGTGGGGGGGCGGTTGCACACCACAGAGATCCTCAGGGGGGCCAAACTCAACCACTAAAAGAGCCATATTCTGTCCATATTCAATGGACCCCAGTATGACTATATATATATATATATTTGCTGGCCCAGGGAATATGGCTCTTTTAGTGGTCTCCCACATTATATATATATATAATATATTTATATATATATATATATATATATTTTATATATATTTATGTATATTTACATATAAAATGGGTTTTGTTCTAAATGTGTTCATTCATTTTCTTTGAGTGTCACAATACAAGCTGTTGGGCTTTTCATATGCAAGAAATATCAGTGCTATAGTATAATTAATATCATCTTTACTTGAGAAATAAAAACATATTTTTTGTTTGTTGTTCTCTTCAAACCTCTTTATATTCAAAACTATTATTAACCGATATGCAGCAATTTGATACGAATGCTTTCGTATAAGTTTTAGGCACCTGTAGAACCATGATCAACAGTGGTCTCAGACTGTGTTTGTCTGTTATACATATTATATATAAATTAGAAAATTAATTTAAATACACAAAGTTTAAATTGTTTCAGGGTGAAGAGAAGGGGAGTTTTTTGAACTGCAGAAACTCAATATGCAATCTCTGTGTCTTAAAAACAGGTGTACCACCCCTTGTTTGTTGTACCTGTAGTGCCTGTGGGTGTTAGTGTGGGGTTATGTAGGTGTTGTGACCACAAAGAGGAGCACTGTCATGTCCTTTTGCAGGCTGTAGCTGGATCAAGCCTGGAATGTCCCTCCTGACCTCTCTCTCTTTCTCTGTCTTTCCCTCTCTTTCCAGCCAATGCGTTCATCATTTTCTTCCAGCCACATCTTTCTGGGCTACAGCAGCAGCCCAGCAGAAATCCTGGCCTGCTCTAAAGTGCAGTGCTATGGCAGGAGTTATTAAGTGGTGTTAGGGGCTTTAGAGATGAGGCTGAGTGGACGGAGCCGTCAGAGCAGATTGCAGCTTATTACTAGCTTACAGAGCCGAGCAGCACCTGACAGGCCTTCAGATACACACAGCTGCTTCTACTGGATAAACAACACACACACACACACACACACACACACACACACAAAATAAAAACACACAAACACACACACACATATATACGCATGCACACCAAAAATAGCTGAGTTAAACAGAACCCTTTAAATGTTTACAATACACACTTCCGAATCAGTGACCTCACAAACAGCACTAAAATCTACAGCTCTGTCCGGCCTTATCTCCTGACCACAGCCTCCAGCACTATCCCTCCCATTCACACACACAAACACACACAAACGGGTTTGTTTTTTTCGTCAGGATGTGGTGTCGAATGTAATACCTATATGTAATAACAGTATGTCCCATATATATACATGGGACATATATATATGTTTATATGAATATGTATATACATATACATGCACATATACACTGTCCACTTTATCAGCTCCACTGACCATACAGGTGCACTTTGTAGTTTTACAGTTACAGACTGTAGTCCATCTGTTTCTCTGCACCCTCTTTAACCTGTTCTTTAATGGTCAGGACCCCCACAGGGCCACCGCAGATTATTTTGGTGGTGGATCATTCTCAGCACTGCAGTAACACTGACGTGGTGGTGGTGTGTTAGTGTGTGTTGTGCTGGCACGTGTGGATCAGACACAGCAGCGCTGCTGGAGTTTTTTTACACCTCAGTGTCACTGCTGGGCTGAGAACCAAAAATCTCCAGCCAACAGTGTCCTGCGACCACCATCCTGTGACCACTGATGAAGATGTGGTGGTGGTGTGTTAGTGTGTGTTGCGCTGGTACAAGTGGCTACAGTGCCCACTCACTGTCCACTCTATTAGACACTCCTACCTTGTCGGTCCACCTTGTAGATGTAAAGTCAGAGACGATAGCTCATCTGCTGCTGCACAGTTTGTGTTGGTCATCCTCTAGTCCTTCATCAGTCCCCAGGACACTGTCCGACTGGATACATTTGGTTAATGGACTATTCTCAGTCCAGGAGTGACACTGAGGTGTTTAAAAACTCCAGCAGCACTGCTGTGTCTGATCCACTCGTACCAGCGCAACACACACTAACTGCACTGCAGTGCTGAGAATGATCCACCACCCAAATAATACCTGCTCTGTAGTGGTCCATGGGGGTCTGTGGGAGTCCTGACTATTGAGGAACAAGGGTAAAAGGATTGTGAAGTATGCAGAGAAACAGATGGACAACAGGCTGTAATTGTAGAACTACAAAGTGCTCCTAAATGGTAAGTGTAGACTACATGTGTGCAAGCTTATGCGTATAAGCTGTGTGTTCGAGCTCCAACTTCCTTCCCTCAGAAACGAGGCTTTCTGATTGGTTCACTTGCCCTCCCAACAGGTTGTTTACTTTGGCTCCCTCCCCTCCACGGCGCCTCTCCATCATCAACAACAAACGCAAACACAGCCAGCTGAGGCCAATTATGCACACGCACTGAACACTGGAAATAAAATTACAACAAAATGCATGATGACCCCAAGTCCTGTGACGGATTAAGAAGAGGAAAAAAAAACTAAAAAATTACAAAACAAAACAAAAAAGTTTTCTCCCAACTAGGTGCCAACAACAAACAACAACAACAAATCTGTTTGCAGCAGAAGAACCTCAGCTGTAAACTAATGTCCCAAATCGCTTATGAGGTCAGTCATGGACTTACCCTTGAGACGTCAAGGTCCACACTCGGCCATGAGTGACCAAAACAGTGTAGAGCGGAGAGAGAGAGAGTGAGAGAGAATGGAGGGAATAAGGGAGTGTGTTGAGAGAGACAGAGAAGAAGAGGGGAAAGAGGGAGGCAGGAAGTTCAGCACAGCCCCTAACAGTGTCTCTGAGGAGAACCCAAACTCTTTTAAACACGGCCAGGCTACACACACACACACACACACACACACACACAGCCAAAAACTGCCTGCGAGGCAGAGCAGGAAAGACTCATGATCCCAGAATCAGGCGTCTGCACTCGAGACCTACTACAGAGAGCTAATGACTCGCTCAACTCTCCACACTGTTATAAAAGACACTTACGCAGTGCTGCTTATGTAATTCCCTCAAAAAGTCTTTCATCTGGACTTGATAGGGCTTTGCAGATGTGAAAACCATCATGCTATGGCGTAAGGCCCAGTTTGGCCAATAAAATCAGCTGACAGTAAAAGTACCATTGCTAAAACCCAGATGTTAATAAGCAATAGGGGTGTTAAAGTGCATCATGATATTGTAGTACTGACAATGCATTGCGTTTGCATATTATTACACGCAAGTACTCACATATGATCAATACTTATTAGACATACTATTATTACATATAGCTATAACTAATAGTAACTCAAGCTGTTGTAAGTCCCACATTTCTCTGTAGCTTTTACTCGTTTTGGAAACTGCTATTTTTTAACACTTATTTAGCTTTGACTTTCTCCTTCCTCATGCAGGTGGATTAGATTTATTTTCCTCAGAAATATCTCCTGAAAGATGAATAACTTCTCCTTACTGGCTATTTTAAATGGAATTTAAACAAATGTGCGTACAAGCTGTGTGTGCAAGATATTGTGACGCAAAAATGTGGCAATGTGCATCACGGCAGGGTTATTATAGTTGACCAAAACTATTACTAAAATGACTATATGACTTAACCGCAGCAAAGCTAAAATGAAATAGAACTACTGACAAAAAAAAACAAACAAAAAAAAAGGTGACACTTTACTGTAGTGTACAGTTTACAAGGCTACATGACTTGTTTAAGCCATTTTTCTGCTAATCTAAATACAGAAATATCCTCTCCCAGTACAGCAGCCATAAATAATCTCCACATAAACTCTCAGATCGATCACCAATCTTACCTGCATGGACTTGACTATCGGAATGGAGGAGAACGCTAAATGCTCAATTTCACAGAGTGAAATTTACCCCAACAACAATCTATGGGCCAGCGGTTACACAAAAAGAAAAGATGCCTGGTGTCTAGCTCAAGCAAATAGGCAGTTTTGAAAGAAATACCTAAAACAATTTATTTTTATGTAGAATTATTTCTGAATAATTATTCACTGCCTATAAAAATGAAATAAAAACACAGAGCTGGTACTGACCGTTCCTCTCTCCAGCCAGTCCAGCAGGGTCCGCGCGGTGGAGCACGGAAGCTGGGAGCGCAGCGTCTCTTGGCCTTCATCTCCGGCCTGAAGCTCCAGAGCCACACGCAGCTCCTCGGCCAGCTGCAGCACCTGCAGAGGACCCACGCTGACCGGAGAGCCAAGATCATACAGGCCGTTACTGAACTCCACCACGGCCTTGGAGCCTGGAGAGAGAGAGAGAGAGAGAGAGAGAGAGAGAAAGAAAGAGAGGGTTAAGTGAAGAAGTCATCCCATCCATGTGCTGCATAAAGTGGAACAAAGAAATGTTCTTCCAGAGCCTCAGTGCTACATACAAGACAGTACAACTTACTACGGTTCATCAGGCCCCACTAAGTGAAACTAAATAGCGCTGCTGAGCTGGTTGCTGAGCTGGTTGCCGCACATACCTTGTGTTAAAGATTACATGTTGGAAGATAATTAAGCAGACATTTCCTAAATTGGTGGATATTTGGCAATGTTTTGCTGTAACAGTGGCTCATCTATTGCTTTCCCTTTGGACAGATTAACCGTAGATCTCTGACCCCATATTTTAATTATATTACTTTACTGTTGGGTGCTCTGTCATCATATTTTCTACTGAACGCTGCTCTTTTTATTTTGATATCATATTGTTTTTTTTTCCAATTAATGTTTTTCAGTCTTTGCAGCCCCGATGATATGTTTGTTAATTTTGTCAATTTATATTGATGTATTTATGTACTAATGCTAGCCTTCAGCTGAAAGCAGCTGATAGCAACTTGCAAACTTAGATGCTGATGCATTTCAAATTCCATAACATTTACTGGGAAGAAAGAGTCAAATAAAAAATAGTGAATTAAATCACTAATTACACTAATGATAACAATAAAACGGAGGATTTCAGCAGTAAGGCTACTAACACCCCCTGCTCACTGGTGCAGCCTGGTCCATGGCCTTGTGTTTGGGAGCCTCCGCACTAAACTACAGTACAATAAGTACACAACAGTCCAAAAATAAAGAAAGAAACAGAGAGAGGGAGAGAGAGAGGCAACCTGTCAGCCACCATCATGTCATATTACCCATCACCCCCTCCACCACAAGTGGCCACGTTTCATCTCCATCAGTGAACACATCTCACAGCTCCAACCGCTTCCATCTGGATACTATAGAACAAAAGCTAATAATTCCACAGCAGCGCAGAGACATCTGGAGAGTATTAAAATGCTATAACAGAGTGTGGAAAGCCTACAGTGACACCAGGATTCTGCTTACTGAAGCCAGAATCATCATAGAGTCCAAAAGGACAACGATGGCTTTTGTTACACTGGTTTTCAAAAGACTGGCTCTTTTTAACCCTTTACACTTTTTTCTAACTTTTTTATTTTAATACTAACCAGAAAACTAGATGTATAATCATAATACAGATATAAATAAATGCTTTCCCCCCAAACTGCCTCCCTCCACTCATCCACCCTCAGCTGGTATGTTCGACACAACAATGTTCATATAGAAATACAACATAAACACCATAAATCAAAGATAACTTAGTATAAACACACATCCATACACTATGTGGACAAAAGTATTGGGACACCTACACATTACACCTACAGGAGCTTTTATAACATCCCATTCTAAATCTATAGGCATTAATATGGAGTTGATCCCCCCTCTGCAGCTATAACAGTTTCCATTCATCTGGGAAGATTTCCACAAGATTTTGGAGAGTGAGAGCGATAACACAAAGAGATTAACATGTTGTCCTACCCTAGCATGCATTACAGTATGAGTACTCTACATCCCTTATTTTCTGTTTTCAAACACGTTTTAGTATCTTGTCCAATCTGTGTGCACATTAAATATGAAAATCTACAGAAAGTCTACATCAGTATAACACAGAGCTTTTATGGCCACAGCACATTGATACTTACACCTCCTGGCATTTAAAGGGGCATTATAGTTGTTTATGTTGATCACTGATGTTATCAGCCAAGTTTTCCCATATTTTGATTGTTAAAGCCTTAGCATTGTGTATTCCAGCAGTAGAGAGCTCCATCATAACTATATCATGAAAATAAAATGATCACTTCCTACTACGCAATACAGGAGTAGGCAACCAACACTGAGCTATCTTTTTTTTTTTACTACGGTTAAACAGTAAGTAAAATTTGTAATTGTTTCTCGTCGAGCTGCAGATGTGGATCAACATCAAAAAGCACTAAATTGTTCAACTCCTTAAACTCTAGGCCAGGGGTCGGCAACATGCGGCTCTTTTACTGCCCTGTTGTGGCTCCACAGCAGAGTTAGATTTTTAGGTATAAATAAAATAATCCTCCTTTGCAGTAAAATAAAGCTCTGCTGGGCGTTCTAACACCGTTTTGGCAATAAACGGTCATAAACACTGGAGTTAATGTAGCCTATAACTGCTAATTCACCAACCTTTGACCTTGAAGTGTGGTGCACAGACTGCTGGTTACATAACAACGCAGCAACACAGACAACAATCTCGCCTAGCTAGTAGCTAACGAGAAGGAAAAGGGAAAGAATTAAGATGAACATTGATAATTTGGAGACGAAATGGACTTATTGGCATTTATAATCACTCCAGCTGGTTTCCTGATATGTTTAATCTGCAACAAGAAGCTGCCAAACACTAAAAAGTAGCGAAGCTGAAGTCAGCTTCTCGTTCGCCAACTTCTTGTTCGAATTCTCCCGTTCCACCTTAAATGGTGCAGCAGTTACCTTCTGGCGCCTCAGGCACCATTTAAGGTGGAACATTGACAGACATTTTACAAGACATTATTCCACTTTTGGAAAAGTTTTCTGCCGGAGATGCGAGAAAAGCTATAGCTAAGCTAAAGCTTAAAGCAGAGTAAAGTAAGTCTGTGTTTTCGTTTATATTATATTTTTAGCCTACACTAAGTACATTAACACATACTGATTTTACAGCCAAGATGGTAAAACATACATAAAATGTGGCTCCCAAGGTAGTTTGATTTTTGTTGAAAGGACAAAATGGCTCTTCTTAACATTTGGGTTGCCGACCCCTGGTCTAGGCACTTCAGTTCCTCACTTTCATTACTACGTTACTTACGTATTACATCCGTAGCCGTCAGTTACTGAGTAATTTCTGAGTCATGTAACCGTTGCTACATCTGTTGTAAACCTGCCTACTCACATCTTACAATGGTGCCGCAATAGACTTTAGAACAAGGTTTTCTGGTTCAAAGACAGAAACCGCCTGTTGTTGATGTATGTTGGAGGTGGGAGGAACTTTACAACTGCAGATATGTAAAGGTGGGCTGCTAGAATATTTCTCCCCTCTAGCTTGGTAACGCAGACAGCTAATGTCACTGCTAAGAAGCTGAATACCAAGTCTGTATTTATGAACCTTTACATCACCAGCTACACTAGCAGTCAGGATTTCTGTGAGGGGATTCCCGATGGTTGTACTTTGCGCAGTGCATGCTGGGTATTGTAGTGAGAGAGCACTGATGGAACACACACTGTCGAACCGATGAGGCTGAGGGATGCAATGCTGCACTGCAGAATATTACAAAACATAACAAATACCATATCAAATGCTAGTCTGAGAATTGAATGCCCCTTTAAATGCCAGGAGGTGTAAATATCAATGTGCGGAGGCCACAGAAGCTCTGTTTTATTGATGTAGACTTTCTGCATGTTTTCATATTCAACATGTGCACACTCATTCCATAAGACACTAAAATAAATCTTTGCATATACCGAATGATGTACAGACATGTACAATGAATCAATCATAACTGATAATATTATTATAATGAATGAAAAATGCATAATGTATTGATCTGAAGGTGGAAATTCACTTTCATCAACAAATTCAACATCGATTCTAAATAAATCATAAAATATGTTGTGGGTGAGCTTATTTTTGTCGAAATAAATAAATAAAGTTTTACAGTGTAAAGTCCACCAAAATGTTTGTTTTTACTGTCTATATTCCACTTTTGTGTAATTACTTTCTCCATTCATACTTCATTCAGTGCATCTTTTTTTTCAAATAATTCTTTTATTGCACCAAAATAACCAAACCGAATCCAGGTCAAATTTCAGATTTTGTGATTGACTGAATTGTTTCCTAAATAATCACAACTAAATCCTTATAAGGTCAGAGATTCACACCCCTAGTTATTATAACACAGATAATCTACTGTAAGTATGCTTAATATCAGATTACTTAAGCAATAGAGCACGAGAGGGAGTGTGTTATCACGAAATAACATCACGGCTGTGATTTGGTCGCCGTAGATCATCACAGCCGTGATGTTACTAAACTAAATTCCGAGACTGTCATCACCACTGAGCAGTCCAATTTGGTCAGACTCTGAAGATGAGGCTACACGTTTGGCGAATAGTATTCGTTTAATTTCTGGCTGATTCCAAGTTTCTTCTGTCACCGCTGCCGACTGAAAAGCTGCTCAGTGGTGATGACAGTTGGGGAATTTAGTGTAGTCTCATCTTCAGAGTCTGATCAAATCGGCTGTCGGTCAAATGTGATCTTAAAAGTGTCCATTTTCTGTTTGTGGCAAAGTAAGAAGTAAAAATGTTCTTAGCGGAGTGATACAGCGTTTGTGAAAAACCTGTGATGTCATGGTGAAATAACAGCACAGTTAGAACGCTTGCGTGGCCGTAACTAACCGTTGTATAACGTGTAATAAAGTGAGATGTTTAACCCTGCACTGAATTTGAACTGCTAGAGTTTCTTTCTTTGTTCTTCAACATCCCCTCTCACAAATGTCAGAAGGCCTTGGTTATTGACACATAGCTGCGAGCAGCGGCAATCAGCGCCAAGACGTCAAGCAGTGACGTGAAGTCAAAACAGAGAACAAGGTCAACGTGAGGCCGCAGCATAAATATGATCTACAATACAAACACCCTGTGGACATGTAACTCTTCAGCAGCTGACCACCACATCAGACGCACAGTAGATCTTGCGTATTGAGAGTTTGTCCTGACCTCATTGCTTTCTAGGGCAGAGACTACAGAACAAAACGCAGGACCACGGCCTCAGGCTAAAGCCCTTTCACTGCAGCTCCAACAGAGAGAATAAGAGTATATTATCTTCTACTGTAACAACAAAACAAAACATTACACGTACAAAACGCTCAGCTGTGGAAAGAGCTTAACGCACAGATACACAAACATCCAGCACAATTTCAAATCA